TCTCTCTCCCCTACTTAAAAACCTTGTTGCAGCCATCTTGAATAGTTCACCTTACCACGTTAACATCATTTTCTTCTTTAAACATAGAGTTCCTCAGTGTTCCAGGACTCAAGGCCCCTTCCCCTCACCCAGAGTATCACTAACACTTGGGTATGGAGTTGGTCACCTCCTACAAGCCTCAGAAGACTGGTTTCACGATGCACAGGAGTATAGGCTGGTCAAGAAACAGAGAAGCCATGGAGAGGGGCATTTAGGGCCAGCGTGGGAAGCAAAGAAGCAAAGCTGGACATCATCAACACTGAGACTATACAGTGGGAGTCCCACCAGAGCATGAACTGTGCAGCGGATCTGGGGCACTAAAGCTGAGGTAGGTATTTTCCTTATCCTCTGAAACTTTGAAGGAGACCCTGCTGAGGACTCCCTGATCATGCTAAACCCGTTCCCCCACCACACCAACCTCAGAAACTGACAAAAGAGATCTATCTCAGGGGACACTCATTCCCTTCTAGTTGCTGTAAGGACCCTGGTTGGATGTCAGAGCTATGACATCCTCAAAGTCCCTGTTTTTGAGTGTTTGTTGGGCTCTGTAACATACAAGATCACAGACCCAATGCCTGGGGCACACAACCAGAAAAAACCCAGAGAGAAGGTTTACCAGCCTTTGACCTGGCTCTTCCCCAAATCTTCCCCACCACCTCAGCTCTGCAAGATGACTGAGAACTCAAGAGTCTAGAGGACACCATTAGCTTACCTCCTACCAGTATGCCAACAGCCACTTTAGACATCTATTCTGGTCCTTAGACACAGTATACAGACCAAGAGAGCCCAAGGAGTCTGACTGATAGATGTGGGCTCTGGCTGCTTAAAGAGGGAGGCAGAACAGATCCTAAGAGCTGAACAAGTCAATTGCAGTCTGCCCAAGCCCACTTACACCGATTACCAGACCTACTACTTCCAAAGAGAAAACCCACAGCCCCGCCCAGCCCCACCCAACCCTCAAGGGTGGAGGAAGCAGAGTTCCCAGAATCAGCTGTTGGTAAGCACTTGCTGGGAACTGCCTGAAAGATAGCAGCTGTCCCCAAACAGTGTGGGGTCAGGCCCAACCCAGAAGCCTGAGACTGTGGTTCCTCAAACCTGAAGTGTGTACTGGATTCTCAGCAGCCAAGACAGGCAGGGCAGGTCTGATTTAGCTCCCTTCAAAGAGGAGAAAAGATGCAACTCCAGTCTGGGTTGCACAGCTAGCAATGAGACATCAGCCAAAGGCTGGCCTCCTAACTGCCCATCGGCAAGCTGGACTCCTGGGCATCTTCATGCTGAGTGGACAGGTGCATCAACTGTCGCACACAGGTCAGGTCCTGTCCTGAACCAAGGCAAGTACTTGCTCTGTTTGAATCAAAGCAGAGGGATGGAAGATAGTGGCCAGGAGACCACGAAACCCGAAGTAATTTATAAGCTGGAGGCGGCACCTCTACACTGCAGGAAAAGGCAAATCGAAACGCTGCCCATTCACCAGGCCAAAGACTTCAAAAACAACCAAGCACAGCCTATTCTGGTCACCAGTGACCAGCCAGGAGCTGCAACAGGCCTTTATGTCTCCTGCCGATGCACAGAGGGGAAACAGGGGCCCTGAAAAAGCAGTACCCATGCCTAAGAACCAATGGCAAACCAACCTTCACAAAGAATAACCCCATGTCTCCCCACCTCTACTCATGGCCCCTGGCTGATGTGCAGACAGAACACAAAGCAAAACCCAGTGTGGCTAGAGAAAAGCATCCAACAGGTTTCTATCCTGTCCTTCCCTCCAGTCACCCTAGCAAATAGGCGCTCTGCTCCACACGCACTGTCCCGAAGCTTGGCCCCAATCACATGAGCAATTCTTAGAGCATGGAAACGAAGGGCACCTCTACCTGCTAGGCTTCTAGGAAAAGTAACTTCACATCCAGGCAAGAACGGGAAGTGCAACGTGCTCAACAGTCACTGGCCACAAGAGAAGGGCGGCCAAGCCTGCTTTCCTGCCCACAGGCCACAGGCAGGATTATCTCTCTGCAGACACAAACAGCCAGCAGCAGGAAACGGGGATTGTCACCTCCATTAGCAGCCTCTAGGCTGGGACTTCCTGCTTTAGAAAAAGCGTGGGAATTAGGTAATGAGGAAAAGGGCACTGCGGGCGCTCCAGTAACTTCTGAAGGGTCAGAGGAAAGAAGTACGCAAGGTCTTTAAAGACCGCCTCTCCATCCCTAGGGTTCAGTCACGTTTATTAAGCGTCTACCTTTCAAATGGGGCAAGCCCGTCTTTAAAAAGCATTTCTTTGATTAGTTTACAAAAGCGTTCTTGATGGCACAGAGACAAAGAAGGAAACTAGGACCCAGAGCTTGAGGAGAAACAAGTGACAGCCAAGTACAGGCTTCCTGCCATTCATTGTTTCTGACTTCAACCCCCAACCCCACCCCGACCCTGAAGGTGACTACAGACGTATTACTTGGTGTAGCCAATGAAATGCCACTTCATTATTCCACATCTGCCACAAATGGGCAGAAACCATACGAGTCAAGACTCATGGGGCTATGTCTAAGTGACTGGGGATATGAACTGGGAACTGGTCTACTATAACGACATCATAAAGCAGATAAGTGATGTGATGTAAATGTGGAGATGGAAAAAAAAGACTTTGGTATTAACCAATCAAACCCTGATCTCTACAGAAGGCGTTGACTCTCCGGCCATGCTTGCAATGCTCTGGCCTTGTAGGGCAGACATTACAGTCGAGGCAAACCGGCAAGGATTTAGGGGTGGTATGTCCTAACTAATCTTGGTAGACAGTTGAGACATGTGGAAGCTGGGCCTTAAGGGAACCTGTGCTGAAGGACTCACTAGTTCCGCCTTGGGCCAGGCTTTCGCACTACGTTTAAGCAACTCCAGGAGGAAGGCATCTCTTAATGAGAGGCTCCAACTCTCAGGCAGAGACCACAAGGAAATCACTTTGACCTTTCTAGGCCATAGTTTGCTCATTTGTAAAATCAGGTAGTTAATGTCTACCACATTGAGTTGTTTCAGGGATTAAACAATTAAAGGAAGGCTGAGACAGTGGCTTAATATAAGTCTCCATAACTACTAAGCCTTAACAAACTCACTATTATGCCATGTAAAAGCTGTACGTTTGATCATAAGTTCACTAGATTTTAAACAAGCAAAGAGTTCTCAGGACTGGCATACTGGCATTTTTAGGTGTTGTAAAAAAAATAATCCTGTTTAACTTCTCTGCTAAAGTTAAACAAGGTCAAATCCCTAGGCACATGGTGGCCCAGGGTAAGGCCCCGGAAGTGGTTAAAGAACCCAGGGCTTCCCTGCACCCTGGCCTCTTTGTAATTTCGCCTCATTTCTATAACCTGCAGGGCAGGCTCCTCCCTACCCACACAAGGCATGAGTTTCATCCTCCATCAGAAACACAGCAAGGGAGAAGCCCTCACCTGTTCTCAGAGAACACACAGTTGCCAGTTGCACTAAAGAAGAGGGTGGGAGGGGGGTCTTCCCAGGGCAGACAACCCTTCCCCTTTGGTGCCTTTTCTTCTTGGAAATAACCAAAACCTTTGGAGGATCAGTGGCTTAGATGGTTTGACTGAATGGAGCAACTAGGCCTAGGTCAAGCTCATATCAATAAACACCACTGACCACTTACTGGTCAGGAGGTATGAGCCCAGGAGTGTCCTGCTACAGCACAGGGCACCGCAGTCTCTGAAACACATTAGGTGGTCCAAAGAGGGTCCAAAAATGTAGAGGTTGCAGAATGTACAAATGTAGAAAGTAGGGCAGAAGAATTACAATTCAAGGCAACCCTGGCTTACACAACACCCTGACTCCTAAAAGAAAAGCATTCTCAGAAAAGGCTACAAGGCTTCGGGACAGCAGAAGTCTGCACTTCTAAGGGTTCCAGAGCCCAGGAGTTTTGAAAGGAAGGGTGTCTCCTTGCAACCTCTGAGCTGTTAGAACGTGGGGCCCCAGATTTCCCCATAAAGAAGGAAGCACTCAGCAGGCACCAACTTCTACTTCGAAGTCAAGGGGCTGTGTAGAAACTGTCCCGTGTTTGGCAGGCAACACCACAATCACCAATCCTAGGGACAACCTCCTAGAGAGCTGGGAACACACCTGCTACAGACTCCAACCCAGCGTCCTGCACACGCTGCCCAACACATCTCGATGTCCCCAAACACCACCGTCCTTATACAGCCATTAAGTGTTCACCAGGGCTCTGCAACCAGCTCCAGGCAAGCACTGGCTTAAGACACTGAGTTTTGGGAATACTGACCGCCTCTCGCCGGAGAACGAGTTTCACTCCTCAAGACAGCAGTTTCTGAGGTTCAGGACCGAAGTCCCCATTCGCACACTTTCTCCGCCCTCTGCACTGCACGCCTAACAGGGAAGGAATGGGGGCTGCAACCTGGGCCAAGCAAAGGTACAGCTAGAACCAAAACTTGTCCAAAGCTCGGGTTAGGTCAGGGATCGGGTTCTACTTCCAAACACAGCCTCTAGCGACCAGTACCGAAATGCCGGCGTCGCCACCTCCTCAAACTCCGGCAGGACAGCGTAGGACCCGGAGGCTGGAAGCAAACTCAGGGTGGGTGGGGGCTGGGCGACCGTCCCCTCACCCGGGACCGGAGCTGAAGAAGGCGCCCTCCGCTGGGCTCACAGGTGAGGAGCGGCAGAGCCCAGGCGGCAGCAGGGTGCAGCCACACCTTCCGGGACGCCCGCCGAGCCTCTCACTCCACACAGCGCCCGAGTTGGGCTCAGCGGGGTCCCGGCGGCGGCCTCCAGAGCTCGCGGGCGGTCTCAGCAGACAAAGCCCGCGCCGCCCGCGGGGCCGCCCCCCGCCAGGCAACGGAGTCCCGGGGCCGAGCGGGGACGCAGGGAGCAGCCGCCGCCGTCCCGAGGGGACGCTCACGAGGACCAGCCCGAGACAATGAGGACAGGCCCGACGCTGCAGCGGGGCCGCGCGGTCTACTTACCCGGGCGCGGCAGCGGCAGCGGTGGCGGCGGCGGCGGCAGCACGGCCCGGTCGGCCGAGGAAGTTAGACCAAGTTCGGCGGCGCAGAGCGGGAGGGCGCGACTCGGGCCGTCCGAGCGGCGGGGGCGGGGCGCGGAGGGGCGGGGCCGCGGCGGAGAAAGAGGCACCGCTTCCCTGCGCCGCTCTGCCGCCCCACGCGTCTGGCCCACCCGGGCCCCGCCCCCGACGCTTGCTCCGCCCACACAAGGCAACACCCCATCGCTCGCTCCTCCCCCGCAACAGGGCGGGGCTCCCGCCGCTCGACCCGCCCCCTCGGCCATCAATCCGCACTCCCACCGCCGGCTACCCCTCCCACCTTGATCTCCACGCCCCGCCCGTGCCCCGCCCCCACTGCTCACCCCGCCCTGAAAGCTGCTTGCCTTGGGTAGTGGAGCGGATCGCTGGCCCGCCCCTTTGTCCGGCTCTGGGCGGTGCCCCAAACGGGATTTACCCGGATCCTCCCTCTCGGTGGCTCCGCGGAGCTGGCGGAGCTTGGATTCCGGCCAGTCACTTGTGGTGGCCAGTTGAGCGCTTGGCCGAGTTAAGCTATGCAAATGCCCCTCCGGCCTTAGTCCCTGACCCGGCGGGAGCTGAACCCGGGAGAAAAGCGAGTTGTGAGATTCCTTGTCTCAAGGGATGGCTCGGGGTGACTTGGAGGTGGAAAAAGATTGGGGGGAAAAATGGCTGGTTTTAAGATGGAAGGCGTTCCTGCCTAGCCTTGGTAGCCAGAGGTGGGGGTAGTCCTCTAGAAAGAGGTGGCGAGTCTTAGAGACTTTCCCCTTCCAGTCTCCGGGCTAAAAATACCAAGCTTCCTTTGGCTAGCCTGCTGAGATTTGTACATCTCCTTTATGCTGAGGAGTTGCCTGGGATAATTCTTGGAAGTGGAAGGCCACAAGGACAGGCAGGTACAATGGTATCCACACCGCTGTGATGAAAAAGGCGACCTGGTCCGAGCCTCTGCCTGCGTGCCTATAGAGCAAAGCACAACCTTGTTCCTTCTTGGTAAACTCAAGTGGCTTTGGGAGAGCTGAGGGCCAGGTCTGCTCCTCCTGGGCAACACAAAAGTGGCATGAGACTGGAACCATGTTTTTACAACGTAGCCAGCAGGTTAAGTTCATTGTAAAGAGAAAAATCTAGAAATGGAGTGTATTTGCATTGCTTGTTGTGGTTATTAGCAAGGGGGAGGCTGCCTGTCTCTAAAATACCCCAGACAGCACAAGGACCTGTCCCTGGCAAGGAAACCTGTCCACATTGTCACCTCTATTTGGCCAAAATGCATGATTGGGTGTCCAGTGTGTCAGTGTGTGAGCACTGGGCCTTGTGTTTATGGTGGGGGTGGTGCAACAGAAATCTCTCCCTCCACACAGTGGCCCTTTTTTTTTTTTTTTTTTTTTTTGAGGCAAGGTTCTCTGTAGCTTTGGTGCCTGTCCTGGAACTAGCTCTTGTAGACCAGGCTGGCCTTGAACTCACAGAGATCCACCTGCCTCTGCCTCCCAAGTGCTGGGATTAAAGGTGTGCACCACCACCTCCCGGCTCACGAAGTGACTTTTAGTAGAAAAGACAAATTTCAAGTTGAAATCAATGCTGAGACAAAGACAAGGGGCCTGGGATAGAGAATAAAAGTGGGCGTGGTCAGGAGAGCTGAGAAGGTGATGTTGAAACTGAAAGCCAAAGAATGAAGAGTTAGCCTTCTGGGAAAGTGGAGGGTAATACAGAAAGTGCAGGCTGAGGGCAGAGGGTGCCAAGGCCTTGGAAGGGGCACACTCTGAAGCTGTCAAGGAACTGAAGGAGAATTAGATAGCTATCATTTGAAGCCTGGTTTGTAAAAGTTTGGGGACGAAGTAGAGACCAAGAGGAAGAGCCAAAGAGAAAGAGCCTTTCTGTTTTGTTCCATTGAAGGGTTTTTGGAAAACACTAACATTCTGATCTGCTGCCGTGGGAAGAGTAGATGTAGCAGTTGTCAGGCAAAAATGAAAAGCAGGGACCCAATTAAACTTTGCCCTAATCTGAGCCAAGTATGTGGAGCGTTTGAACTAACATAGTAGATGTGTTAAGATGCGTACTTGAGAGAAACTGTTTTAGATTTAAGGCCAGGAAGATGGATGTAAGAGGATGAAATGTAGAAATGAAGGGATAGTTCTCAAGTTTCTTCCAGTGAGTGGGAAACAGTGCCTCATTTATGGGGTGGGGTGGCCTGGAGGAAAACAATTGCTTCCACGAGGACCACCAACAATCTTGTTTTAGCCATACTGACTTGAAGATGCCTGTTAGATACCCCGGGTTGCTCAATCACTAAGAGCACAGGAGAAGGCGCTGGGGTGAAAGTGCATTCTGGGGTGCACTCCAGTGGGAAAGACCATAGGTGCTGAGAACACCTAAAGGGAGGATAGGCAGATGCAGAAGAGAAGGTTCAGTGGGGACCCAGGGAGTGAGACCGGATAGCAGGCAGGAAAGAACCTTGAGAGACAGGCTGGAGTCCAGAGGAGAACAAAGGAGTTTACATGCTTGTGCCCAAGACTGAGAAACCTGTTAGCTGTGTTAGATGCTGCTTGGGGCTCAGGTAAGATAAGGACAGCGAAGTGTCCCTTGCATTTAGCAGCATAAAACCGTTGCTAAACATACTAAGGGCAGTGTTCCTGGGACAGTGGGCTGGAAGCCAGATGGCATTAGACCTATTGCACACAAGTAACCCAGTAGGGAACAGAGAACCACGAGTGACCCCACTAAGGATGTGACACACTGGAGGCTTCGGTGGCCTACTACATACGATCATGTGACTCAGTCCCAGCCGGTAAGAAGTGAAAGTGTGCAATTCTAAACTGGCTTTATAGGGAAGCACTGTGCCTTTCCTTGGCCAGCATTCTTTACAGGAATGTGCTGGTGAAGGCCACGGCTGCAGTAGCCATGTGTGTCTGTAATGGAAGTCCTATGTGCAGAATGTTGATGAAACAAATTAGGATAACTGGATTCCCAAGGTCTGGGGAGTCACCCATTCTAAGCCATCTACCTATTTACTAGGAACATGAAAAGAAGAAAATTATATTGTTCGCACTACTTTCAACTTTCTACTGCTTGTAACTGTACCCATTTTATTTATTTTTTTTATTTTTTTTCTTTCTTTCTTTATTTATTTATTAAATAACTGTACCCATTTTAATTAATTAATTTAGAGGCAACATCTCTGTAGCCCTGGCAGGCCTTAAACTTGATGTAGATCAGACTGGCCTCAAACTCAACAGAGATTTGCCTGTCTTGGCTCACCCAGTCCTAGGGTTAAAGACACATGCAGCCCGCTCTTTCTAACTTTCCTTTGTGTTAGCCTATGGGGGGGGGGCGGGGGCAGGTCAGACTATGGGGAAAGCCACAGGTTTGTACAATGATGAGAATGATGGAGAGGAGGGCCGAGTGATGATTCCGAGCAGCGGATGATCAGAGGTGGGATAGCGGCCCCTCTGTTGGAGGAATGAAGTTATCTCCACCACTGGAAGGAGAGGGTGGGAGGCCACGAAGATGTTTCCAGGGAGGGGAGATGTTCTCACCTATCGATTTCCTGGTAGTAAAGAAGGTTGTGAATGTAGGACAAGATGGGAAGAAAGTAAAATCAGCACTGTGAACTAAGGACCGGTAATGTTAGGTCCTGCAGACTGAGCAGCCTCTGGGGACATTTCTCTCAGGGCCAGTGGGCCACAGTGCTGCTAGAAGTAAAGAGGGTGGGCTGTTCACAAAGCCAACATGGCTCAGCCCACCCTCCGTAGGCCTCAATGGACAGGGGTAACTAACACGTACCTGCTAGCCTCGGGTACCTCATGAGGTTCTTACAGCAGCATAGCATAGCTTCCCAGAGCACAGGGGTATATGTCTATTTTGTTTTCACTTATTAAAAAAATAAAAGGAATTAAAATGAAGGCGGCTCTAACCCTATATTGTAAAAGGGTTGTACAATAATCAGTGGTTGACTGTGCGTCTGGTAAAAGAGTTATATGGTGATTTACTTCGCAAACTAGCCCTCCAATCTGTAATTGCCTAGAATATGGCTGAATTATAGTGTAGCCTACAAGCTTGACATGGATTACAGGAACAGGAAACAGGAGTGGAAAGAAGAAAGCAAACTGAGAGGTTTCCTCTCTTGTCTTTGCTATAATTAAAGCTTTGGGTAGAACTCGGTCTTTGTCTTTTTCTGTTCTCGTCTGCAGTGGCCTGTCCTGAGGCTGCTGTGGCCATCCTGGGCTTACTTTACAGAACCTCTGTGTGCACAAGCAGGGATGGGCTGGTGGTGCCTTGGGTTGAAGAGACATCTGGTGACTAGCTCTCCTCATTCATAACTTTTTGTTTTGTTTTGTTTTTTAACACAGGGTTTCTCTGTTGCTTTGGAGCTTATCCTGGAACTAGCTCTTGCAGACCAGGCTGGCCTCGAACTCACAGAGATCCACCTGCCTCTGCCTCTTGAGTGCTGGGATTCAAGGCGTGCGCCAGCACTACCAGGCCATTCATTACTTCTTAACCTTAAGCAAACTGTGTCACATCTCTGAGCACTAGAGTTCGTTCCTATAAGATCAAGACCATAGACATGTCTATCTTATAATCTCATATTACAAAGTGACCACAGCTGAAGGAATAGTTCAATGGAAGAATACTTTGTTTACCATGCATGAAGCCTTGAGTTCAATCCCCAGCACTACCACAAATGAGTTTACAAAGCTTTGAAAAACATTGGAAAAGCTATAAAGAAATCCTTTGACTATAAATTATGTCTTCTTAGGACCAAACTCCCAGCTCTCTTCACAATACTGAGGACATTTTGGTGGCAAACACAGGGACCCCACTTAAACTGCTTTCGACAAATACAGATGAAAGATGCTGCATTCAGATCACTGACAGCGCTGAAAGCTTGAAGCCAGATTTGGGGCTGGTGTGAATAAGTCCAAGGGAGGATTATAATTGGTCCAGCTCTAGGCACACGCCCACTCTCGAACCAATCACTGTGAAGGATAGGCTGCCGTATTTTCATATGTTTTTGTCCTGCGTCCAAGCCAATGGTTCCTCGCACAGGGCTATGCCATGAAAAGGAATAGTGTATGCAGGACTCACATCATAATTCCTGATAGAGTCTGGTCTACCAGATG